CCAGCCATGAAGCCCTGCCAGTTGATTTGACTGATCAAACCGGTCAGCTTGACTTTGTGATGTTTTCAGTTTTTGTTATTTTGGAATTCTATTCAGGTTAGGACTCCCCATTGGATTAGGTATCCGGTTTTAGGACCTATAAAAGAGGTCTTTCTGGGCTACGATTAGATGATCTAAGCTAAGAGGAGTTGCATATTGTAAGAGAGAGGTAGAGGGAACTAAGAAAAGAAATCTAGAGCCGGTTTTGAGAGATCTTTTGGTGAGATTAAGAGAGGGTTTCTTGCGGAGCCTTTAGAGATCACAAGAAAGATCATATTCTTTGTAAGCTCTGCTATCAAGAAAACTCAAATCTCTCCCTGTGAACGTAGGTGATTGCTTAACCACATAAATCTCATGTTTTTGTGCGATTGTTCTATTTTCTACGGTATATTACTTTTTCTCTTTAGTTTGAACAGAGGTTTTTGGTGCTTCCACATCGTCTGATGATCGATTGGCCTACAAAGAAGGAGATCTAATCGGGCATTCAGTGATGCTTCCATATTGAACACCAGTTGGTGGCCAACGATCAGTGTCGGATTGCCGGTGGACGAGATAAGCTACTACAACCGACTAGGGGTCTGTGATTAGACTAGTTCTTTTATAAGCACTCAATATCACACAATGCAACACGATAAAAAGATATGTATTTCCGGTTTAACTCGTAGAAAATATCACCACTGCTAAAGTTTGGAGGCATTCTAAGATATTTAGATGGATAGAGCAAAAAGATACATAAACAATGTTGAAATTCCAAAAAAAAATTAGAAAGCATATCGCTGCAGCTGACCAAAGCTTACCATCTTGATTATCATGCCAAAACAGTAGCATTGAGTAGAAACTTATGCCCATCTTCATGCTTCGACAAATATGTTTCTCCAGTAAGCTGACCTGAACCTGCTCCCAACTGCCATTTAAATTTCCAAGCCACCCGATCACAGAAATAGAAAAGAACAAACTACAAAGATAAACGTGCCAGTCACTGACTGACACCAAAAGTGGGTAGTTGGTGTTACTACAATTAATCAATGATGAAACAAACTGGATCACCTTTGTAGACAACATCCTGTACTTAATGTTGTTGCATCACCAACTCCTAACAAGCAAAGTAAATCTTTAGATTTCTTGGTGTTTCTTGGCAAGAACACATAAGTGGCATTCCCCTCCATATGTACCCTGTTTTCAAGATGGCAAGGTTAAATTATCAACTACTGCTCGATGTGAAAAACTCTTTAACAAATATGTACATACCAACCTCACAGCCTGTAGTCCCAGTCCCACCACAACTTCTCTTAATTCTTCCAGCCTATGAAATCCCAGAACTCGGTTGATGACTTCTGCAAATCATGAAACCAAATTACACTGCTAAAGACTATACAACAGAATTAACAAAAATTCATGTGCAGCGTACAGTGGCAAACTAAATAATCCAAGAAAAACGTTTTAACAGAAAATGATCTTGTAAAGAAGGTAACCTTGCCCTTCAGCTAGAACGTCAATTTGTAGCAGATATAGCTTGTCATTACAACTCCTCAGTAAAGCAACTTCACTGCACAGAAAAGATATAAAAACAACATGGTGTGAAACTTTCATAAAAACCATATTGTTAAGCATCTTTTTTTTTCAAATTGTACCATTAAAAAAACAACATGCCAGCTAAGATCGTGATTCAGAAAGTAATCATCAAATAGTAAAAGCAATTTATTTTGTTGATTATATTACAACAGCTTCAGTTACATAGGGGCCAGAAGTTACCCTATCAATTTTACCACAAAAAAAATTATCCGAGAATACTATATTAACAGCCCAAACTTTTCTTTGTTTTTCCACTGAAGAAAAAAGGACAACTGAAGAGTAACACTGTAGGTCCATACTGTTTCAAAGCATACATATGTGTGTGTGTGTGTGTGTATATATATATATATATATATATATATATATATATATATATATATATATATATATATATATATATATATATATATATATATATATATATATATATATATA